CAGCCCCGCCTCCCGCAGCCCCCCAGCGCCGGTTGCAGGAGGAGTCCACGCCACATCCCGATTGGCTGAATTCTGACCAATCGGCGTCTGACGTAGCAGGGATTGGTAAACATGAAGCAGACGGACATCCCTAAAGCCAATCGCTGAGGTGTGGAGGCGGGGCTGTTGGGAGAGGCTTGGATCCCGGGAGTGGTCCCGCAGAGTGTGAGGTGCTGGGAGGTGAGGGCCTGGAGGCAGGCGAGGATTGGAGTCGTGGCAGAAGACGGACGGCCCTGATAACCAATCGCTGGGGAGCAAGGGCGGGGCTCCGAGGTGGCTGGCACTACTGGAACCAGAGGAATGAAGGGCGTAGCCAGGAGGGCAATGAGGACTGGCTGCCAAGCCAAGACGGACAGTTCCAGTGGCCAGTCGCTGGGGCGGCGCGCGGGCTGTGCACCTGGCATGGAGAGCGCAAGGTGCAGTTTGGTCGCCAGCGCGGCAGCCGGCCCCCTGCACAGGGACCCCTAAGGCGTATCAGTCTGGCCCTCTGGCCACCCAGCGCAGAAGCAGGACCTCCAACTTGGGCTTTGAACTTGGGCCATCACGGCGGAAGGACTCGTGGATAAGTCTCCATCCCTTCACTCCCCACTTTTCCCCAGTAGACGACTCGGAGAGGGCAGATTCGCTGGAGTTCACTCAGGCTTGCCCTCTTGAGCCCCGGGTTGGTATGAAACGTGGAAATTTGTGGAATGCTACTTTGTGGTATTATGGAAGTGTCTAACTTCTGAGTTCAAGCTTCCTCCTCCAGGGAATCCAGTGACATCCTTGTCGGGCCTCCTCACTGATAAGCCTTTTGTGAATTATCGGAATCCAAAACACAATCCCATGATGACAAGCGGCCATTGGCCCCATTTTACAGGAAACAGATCTGAGAGGTCAAGCTCTTTGCCTAAGGTCACACAGCACTTAAGTGGCTGAATTTAAAACAGCATGTTTTTTGAAAGGGGGAATAAAGCATGGTCAGAGAACAGCTACCAAGGACCTGAGCGATCTGCGTTTGAATCCTTGTCTAGCCATTGGCCCACGGCACAGTCCGCTGCAAGCTGCTTGTGGGCTGGTTTCCTCATGGGACAATGATTCCTACACCCTGATCTCTGGGGCTGCTCCCATGGGAGATCTTATATTGCAGCCCTCCCCTGGACCTTCTGCTGAGAACATTTAACTCTCTCAGGAGGTCACATCTGGTACGTGAACCTCAGTTTCTCTGTGAAGTGCTGTTTATGGGATTCTTTGTGGGCAGATGCCAGCAATTGAGGGAGACAGACACCTGCCCTCCAATGCTTGGCTGTCATGGCACGTCCCTCCTCCACCCTGTTCTCTGACTCACCAAGGGCACTTCCTTAATCTCCGGGGTAGGGAGAGTTACAAATGTTCCAGATACTGACTCTTATTTTCTCTGGGTGCAGGCTGGGGTTAGTGGATATCAAGTTCAGACCAGGGGATCCTGGGAGGGAGCAAAGCTAGGCCTTAACAAGGGTTCATATTTCAGGGCTGTTCAAGCCCCCTGCTACTTGCTTAATCCACACCACCACAAAGGGCCCCTGTATGGAGGAGCAAGGGGCCGGGGGAGAGAGATGACTGAGGCTCACACTTCAAGTCACTAGCCCAACACCATCATCTGACCCAAGATTTCCATGATTGTCCCCCACTCCACCCCCACCCCAGGGGCCTCCTCTCCCACACTTCAGCTGTGGTTTGCTTCCCTGCTGCTTCCAGACCCTGGTCCCTATTCTGCCCTCTGGAGATGAGGAAGCTGAGGTCTGCGGAGCACATACTGGGTGTCAGATCCTTGCTGTGCTGGCTGCTTCCCAAACACCATCTCACAACCTGACTTCCAGATGGCAGGGGGGCACAGTGCCCATCTTGCAGATGAGAAAACTGAGCTTCATGCAACAAGTGCTCTTTGCTAGAAGGGCCAGGGACTGCTTTTTATTTGCTGGTCACCTGCAAGTGACTGAAACTCCCTGCCTCAGTTTCTCCAACTATCTCCCAGGGTTGACAGCAGTGTTAATGAAAGGAATGAAGTGAAACACTCCCAGCCATGTTGGTCCACAGCAAGTGCCTCCAGAGGGTTGGTGATGGATAAACTGTTCTCGGGGGCCTGTTTCCTCTCTGTAAATAGCGCCTCATGGAATGTGGGCATGGACCAACTGCGGGTGTGGCCTGTCACCCGAAGTGGCAGATATTTATGTGGGAGGAGTCCCCCCCACCGCCAGTGCCTACCTGCCAGGCCCTGGAAGGTCGCACAGTACCCTGAGGGACAGTGCCAAGTGAGGCAAGGGTTGGGCAGCAGCCCCGTGTTGAGCTGCCTTTCCTGATGGTGCCAAAGGTACTGGCTGAGCTCTGGCTTCTGTTTGCTTGTCAGCATGCTGGCATCTTGCCACCTCTGCTGCATTCTAATGACTGGTGATGCCCCTTGGCGTCAGGAACTGACACCCCCACTGTGGGCACCTCGGCTGTGCTGGCCAGGGTGTCCAGGACCCCAGCTCTTCTGGGGTGGCAGCTGGCTCTGGGCAGAGCACTGCCTCTTGGCCTCCCAGGGATCTCAGGAACCATCTGACAGGACGGCCACAAGCCAGGCCTGGGCCTGATGACAGACAGGGTTTAATCAACCAAGGCCAGAGAGCCATTTGCCCAAGGTCAGGTTAGAAATGCTGGCAACAGAGGAGGGGCGTGGGTGCAGGCTGAGCTGGGTTCTCATCCCACTTCAGGCCTTTGGATGCTTGTGACTCTATCTCATCTAGAAAATGGGGTTCACAGGCCCTGCCTTTCAGAGGTGTGATCATAACCCAGGACCCTTCCTTTGCTGGAGGAATGTGTCCTAAACACAACAGTGATGACAGCCAAGCCAGGATGGTCTCAAGGCGGTCTCATTCAGCCTCCCAGAGGCTCAAGAGAAATCTGGCCACTTGTCCAAGAGCACACAGCAACAGAGCATAGCCTGCACATGCTGGCCACTCCCTTGCAGTGGCTTCCCCCTTCTCCCAGATCCATGTCATCAATGAGGACAGCAAATGCTCCTCAGAGGAATGCTGTGTGCTGGGCATCCCGAGCTAGGCCTTGCTGGGGGTCGTGGTCCTGTGCCTGTTTTCAGGTGAGGAGGTTGATAAGGGGCTGGAACAACTCTGCAATGGCTGGCATGGCCAACCTCAGTGAAATGTGGCACAGGGCCCCACCCAGCCTGGGGATGTCCACACAGGCCCTGAACCACACCCACTGAAGAGGCCTGTTTTCTCTGGCTCAGGTGGGAAGAGCTGATAAGCCAGAGCCACCCCTCCTGAAGAAGCCTGCAGCTGTACAGCAAGGCTGGCAGGGAGCTCAGGGGAAACATCTGAGCTGTGGGGCAGAGGCCCTGCCTCCAGCCATCTTGTGCACTTATTCATTCACTCAGGTGTATGTTCAGAAACATGAGAAGCTCGAGCAGAGGAGGGAGACAGAAGCCTGCCCACCTGGAGCCCCTGGCTGGTGGGGGTCAGACAAATAGGAAAGTACACAAGCACAGTGGCCTCAGTTGGGGTCAGAGATCAGAGACAGAGCACAACGGGTGATGGGGCTGGGGTACCGGGGAAGGGGGGTGGCTGGGGAATACCCTGAGGAGGCAATAGTGGGCTGGAACCTGGTGCCAGGAAGGAGCTGGCCATGGGGAGGGCTGGGAAAGGGCACTCCACGCAGAGCACTGGACATGCAAAGGCCCTGAGGTGGGGAGGCTGGTGTGGCTGGAGGGAACAGTGGGGAAGACAAAGGTGGGAGGAGAGCAGGGCCTAGAGGATAGTTTGGGTTTATGAGGAGGACAATGCGGAACCTGGGGCACATTGAGAGCACAGCTGGGGTGGAGATTATAGGGCTCGCACTACAGGCTTCCTGAGACTGGCAGTACCCAACCCCATGAGACAGACATGTGAGGCTCCCAGGGCCTGCACAGGACAGTCCCAGGGTCACACTCCCTGCTCTACTCCAGAAGTCAAGTCAGGGCAGCCTGGAGCAGGTGCGGGATCCTTCTACCTGCTGGCTGAGTCCCCAGGGATGGGGGTCAGGGATGGGTGACTGGGTTAGAGGTTCACATCAGCCCCACTGAGCTAGCAGGGCCCTCAGCTAGAGGCGGGGGAAGATTTGGACAGCACAGGGAGGTGGCACCAGGGCTGTGCCCCACCACAGCTATTTTCATTGGCCGATTTCCATGGAAACCAGGAGCCTGCTGGGAAAGAGCTTGAGCTAACATCAAGAACTGAACTCAGGCTCTCCACCGTTTAGGGGAGGCTCATGACAAGCATGGGGTGGGTGCTCCGAGAGAGGGAAGGGGCTCCCAGTGTGTGGGCCGGAGGTGTCGGCACCATGCCTGGAGCCCACAGGGAGTCTTGCAGCTGCCCTGACCCGACTGGGCCACACGGGATGCATGAGCTGCCAGGAGGTCACAACATGATTCCTGAGCTGAATGCAGAGGAGAAAAGCTGGGGTCTACTAGGCACAGGTGCCTGGGGACCCCCAAAACACTTAGGAGGTGGGGTAGGCACTGCAGGCAAGGTGGTGAAGCTAAGGCAATCAGGGGTCCCCCACATATCCAATACCCCTTGGAGGGGTCTCTATGCCCTCTCCATTTACAGAGGATCAAATCAATGCTGAGAGATTATGTTATTGTCTCAAGGCCACATCGCCGAGTGGGGGCTGGATACTGAGCTCTCCAGTCCCCCAAGGGGATTCATGCTCAGGAACAGCGATCTTGGCCCGTGCTAACCCCACAGTCACACTGACATGGCCCCAGCAGCGTGCCTGAGGACAGCAGATCACATATCCCAGGCTATTCTCAAACCCCTTTGCTTTGCTCAGCAACCCTAAGGCTTCCCTGAATGTCTGACCCTCCCCTATTCTCTGAGGCCACTGGCGGCAGCCCCTATACCATGCCGCACTATGGAAGAAACCCCTCCATTGTTCAGCCAATGGTCTTTTATTACCAGGCACCACTGGCTAGAGTGGAACCCCAGAGATTGACAGGCCCCAGTCTCTACCCTCTGTCCAGCAAAACAAGGCATCTGTGACCCATTTTACAGGTGGGACAAACAAGAGCAGGGGTGAGAGCAGCCTTGGAAGAACAGAAGTGGGACCCCTGCCCTGCTTTGAGACTGGCCAGTATGGCTCCCAAATTTCAGACAGCTCTTCACCCCCAAGCAATGCTGAGGAGGCCTTTCCGATAGGAAAGCGCACAGGGTGGGGTAGGGTGGGCATGATGTGGATGATGCCAATGCTGTCAGCTGGTGAGAGGCTCAGGATGAGGGCAGGCTGGGTCCCAGGGGCTGCCTTCTGCTGTATAGATGCCTCACCAGTGCTCCCTTTCCACCCCCTAGGCTGCAGCTGGCACCCATCAGAAAACACCTCCTGCTGAGTTGGGGAGGAATCCGGGAGCCAGAGTGGTAGGACATAGGGACCCCCCAACCCCCCCCATTCCTGAGTCTCACGACTCACCCGGAGTCACAGCACAGACAGAGCCTGGGGTCACGGCGCCAGGTTGCCCTTCTGGCCCGTCCACAGCTCTCGGAGCTCGATGCGGCAGCCCAAGTCCCGCAGGGCAGCCTTGGCCACGTCCTCGCAGTCACGGTGGGTTGCACGGGCCTGCAAGATGAGTGCTTCAGCCCCCAGGTCCAGGATGGGCTGTGAGAAGGCCTGGCTGCGAGCCACCAGGTTACGGATCAGCATACAGGCCTGTTTCTGGAAGAGAGAGCAGACGGGGAGTGGCTGTGAGCTGGTGGGTGAGGTCTTCAGCATAACACCAACGGGGTGATGCTAACTGCAGCCAACATTCAGTGGGTGCCCACGCTGTGACTCGTTGGGCTGGACTCATCTGTCTGCCTCATCCGCTCAGTGGCCCTGGGAGGCAGGGCTGATCCTCCCATGTCCCAGGCGAAGAAACAGAAGCTCAGAGCGGCCAAGCGCTTGGCAGGGGGAGCTCATTCCTGAGGTGTGGGACCCTCAGTTTCAGAGTGGATTCTCTGAGGCCGGCGAGAGCCTGAGGCAGGGCCCCCGGGGAAGAGGGCAGAGAGACAGTGGGAGAAGCAGCTCATACATAGGGCCCGTCTGCCAATCACACCGTTACTCGCTCTCTTTATGTGCCGCGAAGCATCCTGGTGAGGTGTCCACCGCCAGCAGGACAGCGGATGGGAAGCAGGTGAGGTGTGAGGTGCTGCCCGGAAAGGGTGGTCAAGAGTGGACAAGGTGGTAGCTGAGCCAAGGGCATGGCGTCCCACGGTGGGGACCAGAGAGGGCAAAGGTTCCCAGTGGGGCTGAGCCTGGGTGTCTAAGGACCGACAAGGGGGCCCGTGCGCTGGGAGGGTGGCAGTGGGGGGAGGGAAGCTTCGAGGGGGTGTGTGGATTTCAGGCAGGGGTGGCACAGCCCTGAGTGAGGTTCAGCTCCACTGACTCCCCAGCAAGGCGTGCACAGTGGGTCCCACACACAGGAGCAGCCTAAGGGTGGCAGGAAACCTCCCCAAACCTCCACAAATCCCCATCTCCTTCCCCTCCCCAGGCCCCTCTAAAAGGACTGCTCAGAAAGGAAAAGGTCAAATGCAGAAGCAGCAAAGGAACAGGAAAGGAGGCAGCCAAAGGCAGAATCAGGCACATTTGGGAGGATGGGAAGTAGGTGCAGCATGTCAAGGGCTGGAAAGGAAGGAGACCCGAGAAGCTTGGGTCATGACGGGGACAGGGTCAGGGAGGGCCTGCATCCTGCTGCCCGCTGCCTGCCCACCAGTCTCCTGGCCCCCAAGCCCACCTGCACACCAGCCTCCTGCTGATGCGCCCTCATGGCCTCCAGCGCAGCCAGGGCCCCGCCGCCCTCCACGATGACCTGGCTGTTCTCAGGCTTGCGCAGGGCCAGGACGCACAGGGCCGCACAGCTCTGCTCGCACACCTGTGGGGGTTGGTCACGGGATGGCTGAGAGGAGGCAGACAGACCCCCACCATCCTGACAACCCTCTGTGGCTGCCACCCTCAGTTCCCCTGGTGAGCACCCTGTGACCTCGCCTGGAGAGAGGCACATCAGCCCATCAGTGTGTACAGAACCAGACCGTACACAACAGGGCCATCCCGGGGTGACCAAAACAGCAACCACACTCTTAGGGGTGGTCAGTCCTTCCGCCCATTCCTCCTCTACTCTCTCCCAGCTGCCACACTCACCCCGCCCCTCGCTCTCCCTGCCCGGCTCTGGCCCCTGCTGCCCAGGCCCCGCTTGAGGAAATGGGAAGCGTCATAAGGCTGATGGAGATACTTATGGGGAACTCTGGGCCCCTGCCCCACCTCGTGGGCCCCTGGGGTGAGTACCTGGGGGCTGGCCATGTGCCGGGTCATGGCCGCCACAATGGACTGTGTCCCACCTGCATGGACAATGGCATCTTTCACATCGTCGTTGCCTGCGATGGCCCGCAGGGCGCTCAGGACTTGCTTCACCAGGTCCTACATGGACGGCGACGCAGGGGTCACCCCGGGGCAGCCCCTCAGGTGGCACTGCACCAGGTGCTAACTGCTTGGTTACTGGGTTGTGGGAGGTGAGTATGAACAGAGGGTCTGGGGTTATTTCCCTTCTGAACGACAGGTGGGCCATGAAGTTGTTACTTGCTGTACAGAGAAGGCAGGGGAGGCTGGGGAGGTGGATCCTGTGGTTCAGGCCACCTGCATCCAAGCCACGTGTCTGGATGATCTTGTCACCTCCTGCCACAACGCCTCCCACCAGACACACAGAGGGGGTTCGTGGCTCTGGCCAGCAATGAGAGCTCGAGGCTGCCCTGGCCACAGTCAAGACCCCCGGTGGGCACTGGCCAACCTGAGCTGAAGACCACCAGCAGGACACTGCAGGGACTGCTGACCACCCAGCGAGGGGCAGAGCCAAAACAGAGAGAAAGGGGGACGGAGGGAGAGAGAGACACCAGGCCCCTACCCCTGACTGTCCAGGAGCACAAGCAAAATGCATTTTGTCATTTGCTTAAGCCGGTTCCAATTTCGCATGGGAGGAATCTGGCTGATGTCACTGGCCAGGGTTGGCGGCAGCAGGACCACTGCTGCCGTGGGCCAGTACAGTACCCCTGCCCTAAGCAGGGCACATGGAGAGGGATTTGATAGGTGATGGCTAGAGGAAGGGATGATGGGTGGGGGGGCACCCAGGGTGGGGGGACCCCCATCCTGTTTTACAGGAGGAATCCAGGCAGCAAGCAGCGGGCCCTGCTCAAGAATCACACACCTGAGCCAGGGTCTAGGCCAGCCCAGACGAAGGCGCTGCTAAAGGACAGAAATAGTGCATGGGTGAGTCCGTTTTCCCTATAACTTCAGCTCCGGCCCACAGGCCCCTGAGAAGTGTAAACCACATTTTGGTTCTGGGATAAGCGGATAGGGCAGTATGTTCTGACTTAAGCTTGTCTGGCTAGCAGGAGTCCAAAGGGGCTGAGATCACTGGGAGGCCCAGAGCCTACCCCAGGCATCAACAGAAATGACATATCAGGAGATGGAGGACTTTGCACCCTGAGCTGGCTCTGGATGCCCACCTGGTGGTCGCCGCAGTTGGCCAGCAGGGTCACCAGGATGCTGAGGCCCCCAAGGTTGACGACATCCTGGCAGAACTCATTGCGGACGGCCAGGCGGGACAGGGTGCTGCAGAGCTCGCCCAGGACGCTGGGGTTGTCAGGGAATGCTGCAGAGAGGGGGAAGGGACGCCGCTGGGATGAGGAGGGTGCTAGGAGCCAGGAGCCCTGGCTCTGAATCCTGCTCCACCTGGGAAGCCCCAGCCCCTCAGCCTGCCAGAGCCGCCACCTATCTGGAGAACCGGGTGAACAGCAGGAGCTGTCCAGGCCTGCAGCGCCCCCTGCTGGCTGCTGGAGAAGTCATAGGACCGCACCCCCACCCCCACAGTGTCCCAGATAAATTCCAGACCAACTGATGATTTTTCTCTACTAAAAAAAGAAAACCATAATAGTGCTATAACAAAACATCCGAGACTATTTTTATGATCTTGGGGTGGGAATGACCTTTCTAAGTGCAGTGGGAAATCCAGAAACTGTAGAGGGACATATGGACACAGCCGACTGGGGCAAAACTAAACATGGGCACCAATGATGAGGCTGAGACACCAGGGAGGAGAGATGGAGGTGAGTGGGGGGCAGACAGCCAGCGTTCATACAGAGCTCTGTGATGGGCATTTGGAATGTCCCACCCTGGCTAGGTGCAGCCCCCAGTGACACTGTGAATGCTGATCTGGGTGTGCAGTGGAGGTGTGCTGTAGATGTGGTGACATCTACCACCGACTGACTTTATGTAAAGGAGGTGACCTCAGTGGTCTGGGTGGATCTCATCCAGCTGAAGGCTTAAGAGGGAAACTGAGGTCTCCACGAAGAGAAAGAGGCTTGCCTGTGGATTGCAGCGCTGGCTCCTGACTGAACCTCCAGCCTGCCCCAAGGATTTCAGACTCCAAAGCCCAACAACCGCATAAGCCAATTCCTTATAACAGATGTCTATATATTACACATATCCTACTGGTTCTGTCTCTCTGGTAGAACTCTGACTGATATGAACTCCTGTAAATAAACAAGGGAGATGCAAACTATCCCTGACTTCACAGATGGTAAGGGCCTGGTTTCATTCTCTCTGGAGGTGTGGAGGGGAAACAAGGGCAGGCTGGCCTCTTTGGCAGCCAGGGCCCGAGTTGTGCACACAAGCCTGGCCATGGAAACCTAGTGCCATAGGTCCACAGGCACGTCTAGCACTCTCTGTGCGCTAGACCCAACAGGCCTTTACTGGTGGGTGCAGTGAATGGGGACAGGGGCTTGAGGCCCAAATGTGAGTGTTGTGACCTCCTGTGGCCTGCTCACTATGGCCACCCAGCGTCAGGAACATAATGTGCACGAGAATTTGTGACCAAGTATAAACCAAGGTGTAAACCTCCACCGGGGACCAGCCACAGTGAGTACTAGCAACATGCCCCATCTTCAGCAAATGCCCATATTAAACTCTGAAGAGCTTTCTCTGCCCCAGTCTCAGTCTGTGTGGTTGGACAGAGCTGAGCCCCCTCTCCAGATGGCACCAGAGATGGGCACAGGATGTGGTCCAGGCCAATGAGTACTGCACTGGAACTCTCTGGGAGCAATCAGGAGTAAGGACACTGTTCCACTAGGGCTGTCATGTGGGTGGGAGTAAGTAGAGAGAGGCAAGTGGAGCCTGGAGCCAGCCATACCTGAATCAGTCATAAGCTCAACTCTCACTCTTGTTATACCTGCTCCTACCTTTGGCTGCCTTGATGAGCACCTTCAAGCCTCCGTTCTCCAGCACAATCATCTTGGCACGGTCGTGGGCATGGCCGAAGGGCACTCTGATGTCGTCATCAAAGGTCATGACACGGAGGGCCCAGCAGGCCTCCCTGACCACATTGGCACAGTGGCCATGCCGGGTAATGGCGCCAGTAAGCAGGGGCAACACGCCAGCTTTCACCAAGCTCTGCCGATTCTGCTCATGCTTCAGGCAGGCATGGCACACGCAGCGGATGCCAGAGTAGGTCAGATCAGCTGAGTCCGCATTCTGGGCCAGTGTGGCTACCAGTAGCTGCAGGCCCTGGGCATCCAGGAGGTCGGGCTGTCCGTCAGTCAGGGCTGACAGGGCGCTGAGGGCCTGGAGCAGGAGGCCCCGGTCACTTGCTGCAGCCAGCTTCCAAGCAGTGAGGAGGACAGGGTAGGCTCCTTTTTGGGCCGCCAGGAAGCGGCAGGCCTTGTGCTGCTTGCACTGCTCACAAAAGCGGGCAAGGTGTGCCCACACTTCCTGGGGGTGCGAGTGGGCCACAGACTCCTGCAGGTTGTCCAGGACCTAGGGGTCATGGGAGAAACTTCAGTATCAGTTCAGCCCAAAGAGGGCCACTGAGACAGCACTGCATCCTTGCAAGATTCCCTCTCCTGAATTCCAGGCCTGTGGTGGAAGTTCAGCCCTGCTGTGGCAGCTTGCACACCTGTGCAGAGCAGCCTTGAGCTGCAGAGGCCAGGTGGAGAGGGAGAGGCCCAGCTACCTCAGTGGCCCTGTCAAGGAACCACGCACGTGAGTGCAGACGTACTGAGCACTTCAGTCCTAGGTGCCACTGCATGAGAAGCCCCAAACAAACCAGCAGGAGAACGATCCAGCTGAGCTCAGTCAACCCAGCAGCATCATGTAAGAATACAATGGCTGTTTCAGCTTGTTGGTTATGCACCTGTAACTAATGACACATCCTCCAGTGGCCAGCTCTCCAAGGAAGGTAAAAGCCACTTTCACCAGACCAGCCGTCTCCTGCCTGTCCTCATACATTTCACAAATATTTACTGTGCATCTGTCAAAAGCAACCACACTGCACACACACTTGATTTAACCAAATTCAGCTCTAAGCCCTTGGGAACAAAATAAAAATGAGAGTGAACAATTTGAACAGGGCAGGCAAGTCTAGCTGCCATTCAATGTCATCAAACCTGCTTTAGCATGAACCCAGGCACCTGGAGCTTAAGAAATCATCTATACAAGGCCCCAGTGAGGGTAGTTCTACAGACACCATCAGCCCAAAGGGCTCTGATTCAGTCTCAACTGCTCTGAAGGCAAGGATACCTGCTGGCCAACCCTCACTGAGCTAGATTTGTGGACTGAACTGAGAATACATTACACCACCACAGAATATTAGGAAATAGATCAAAACCAGAGCACATGACTTGAATAGACATTCTCTTAGAAGATCATGAATGGCCACGAAGCACATAAAAAGATGCTCCACATCACTAAGCATTAGGGAAATACAAATAAAAACCACAGTGAGGTACTACCACACCCATAAGGATGGCTACTATCAAAGTAACAGAAAATAAGAGGAGTTGGTAAGGATGTGAAGAATTGGAACCCTGGGCGCTGCTGGTGGGAATGTGAAATGGTGCAGCCACTGTGGAAAATGGCCTAGTGGTGCCTCAAAAAATTAAATATAGAATTATCAGCTGGTCCAGCAATTTCACCTCTGGGTATGTACCCAAAAGTATTAAAAACAGAGTCTCAAAGAGATGTTTGTACGTACATGTTCACGGCAGCATTGTTCACGACCAAAGACGGAAGTTACCCAAGCGTCCATCAGATCAGTGGATGAATGGATAAACAAAATGTGGTCCATCCATTCAATGCAGTATTATTCAGCCTTAAAAAGGAAAGAGATTCTGACACCTGCTCCAGCATGGATGAAACTCAAGGACACTGTGCTCAGGGAAATAAGCCAGACACAAAAGGACAAACACTGTAGGATTCCACTTATATGAGGTCCCTAGAGGAGTCAAGTTTAGAGGCAGGAAGTAGATGGAGGGGGCTGAGGGCGGGGCTGGGAGTTAGCATTTCCTGGCAACAAGAGTTTCACCTTGGGAAGATGAAAGGGTTTGGGAGATGGGCAGTAGCGGGCTGCACAGCCACGTGAATGTGCTTAATGCCACTGGGCTGTACACTTAGAAATGGTTTCGACGGTAGGTTTTGTGCTTTATACATGTTAACACAAAACCAGAAAAGGAGGATGTGGAGCTTGATCAAGAACCATGCAGGGCCTGCAACACAATAGCCATTGAAGACAGAGTACTGGAGTTCCTTACTCTGCCTTAGTCAGAGCAGAGGGGGAGGAAATGCCTAAAATTTGCATACTATATACATCAAAGTTTCAGGACATCTCTTCTTGTCCTGGGTCTTATCAGAAGGTTGAGCCTTTGAGTTGGCTGGTTAATATCAGCATCTTCACGGTCCCTGGGTGCTGCCGGCATCCCCAGATCCTGCCACAGTCAGGGGAAGGGGCACAGCTGCTAAAGTGGAGGGAGCAACACCGCGTAGTGACAGGAGCTCTGTCCACCAACACCTGGGGTCATTCCCTCTGTGATGGATGCCTTTTATTCTGCAATCCCTCACATATAAAACTGGCTCGGCTCACTTTCTACCCAGAGAGCTCCAAGATTTAGACTCGGTTTGTTTATACAAGTCTGTTTGCAATAAATTTTATGATTCTGTCAGATTAACTTCAGAAAGCATCATAAAGTTGACCTTCTTCACACAGTAGAGCTACAACACATAAGTAGAGGTCAGTGGTGCTGAGGGTGCGTAAGAAATGGTCAGCTCATTTGCAAGATGAGCCAGGGCTGGGAGAAGTGAATGCCTTCCAACCCCACAGAAGGGAGAGAATGGGGTTGGCAGGAGAGACAGGACAGGGACTTTCGGATTTTATTATAAATGCTTGAGTACTGCTTGAGTCTTTAAAATCAAGAACATGTTCACACTCTTCTTCTATAATGAAAAATGAAATTTTAGAAGTCAAATTAAGAAGAATAAAAGAGCGAAGGTTGTAAACAAACCAGCAGTTTCCTGTACTGCTGGTAGAAGACAACAGAGCTTTTCCTAGCTTGGCTCTCCTGGGAGAGGGACCTGGATCTGGGTCCCAGCTCTGACCCTCACTGGCTATGACCACAGATGGGTCACATGCCCTTGGGAATTCTCAGATTCCAAAATCAGGTTGACAACACATTTTCAGATTTTAGCACAATGCTGAGTACTTAAGTACTCAGTGATTCCTAGGGACTATTGTTACTGAGATCCTTTATAGGGTATCTACAAATCAATAAGAAAAAGATAAATAACCCAATAGAAAAACTGTCAGAAAACAAGCTTATTTTGAAATACATCACTTACTAACAAAGAAAGTCAAAAGAAAATAACAAGAGGCTATACCTCCTTGCTGCAAGGTACAACATTTTTTTCTCTCTGGATTACCTGTCTGTCAAATGGGGATAATAATCCCAACATTGAAGGTGTCTTTGGGAGAATAACTGAGATAGCATGAGGAAAGCACCTTGCACAGAACTGACTCCACATTCGTTCTCAATCAACATTACAACCTTCTGCTGTTCTACCAACACTCACCATAGTTTTGATGGATGGCCTTATGGAAAGCATTCAACCTCTGTGAGTTTTACCTTCCTTGTCAGGGTCTCTGTAGAGCAAGGGCAGGCCCTGGACCTTCATTTCCCCATCCATAAGTCAGGGACACTACCACCTACCTCAATGGCTGGTTTAACTGTTACGAGGATGGGCTGTAATTGTGTTGGTAAACAGTCAATGCTAATAGGTGATACACTCTCTCTTCCTGTGATTTCTGTCCCTCTTTCTATGCAAACTCAGTGGTTGGGAGGCCAGAGAGGGGCTCCTCCATGGTGCTCTCTACCCCAAGGCTCCCAACACCAGGGATAACTGTGAGTGCCATCTACCCCCAGGATGCCCTCAGACATGGGCTCAGGGAGTCCTGCCTGCAAGCTCAGGCTCACTGGCACACACTGGGCAGGCCCTGACCTTCAGAGCCTGTGTGTGTCATCTGGGAACCAGAGAGAAGGTGCACTGACAGAAGGCTACCTGTGATGTGCATGGGACCACATCCACACAGGCCACCCCCTCCTACCTGCACGATGTCGTGTGTGGGCTCCTGGAGTCCATCTGCAGAGACTTTGGGCACCAGCTTAATAATGTTGCTCAGATCAACCCCTGTGGGGAGTGCGGGAGTCAGGAAACAAGTGGCAGCATAATCCCCACGGGCCTGCCGGAGCCACATCTAATACCCCTTCTTCTGAGACTACGCCATTCCAGAGGCCAAGGGGGTCTGCCCAGTACTCTACCTCCTCCCTCCCCGTCTCCATGAGCTCCAGCTGGGGTGCAGGTAGGGTAAGAGGCAGGCGGCCCTGTTTCTCAGGAGACGGTTAGAAAAAGCCTCTCCAAGGCAGTGACCATTAAAATGGGCCTGCTTTGAAGGACCCAGCCCTGCAGCTGTGTGGGTGAGGTCCAGGTAAGTGAGGGGCTGAGCGAGCAAAGGTGAGAGCTGGGGGTCAGTCTGCCCAGGGTGGAGAGCAAAGAGGGGACAGGGTCCACGGCTGCCACGCAAGATGAGATGGGGCCATGGCCAGACATCACTCTCACACATTAAGAGTTGTGGACCAGAGGTGACTGTCAGGCAAAGAGCTGGGACAGCACTGGGATGGAGGCATGTGCCCCACCTTGTGATTCAAACTGCTCCACAGCCTCTTTCACGGCCTCCTCTGGCCTCATCTCGAACTCTTCAATGTTTTCTCGAACAGCCGCGTCAAAGGTCTCCTGGGTGATACGCTTGGAGGCCATCTTCATCCCCTCTGCGTGGGGCTGCAGGCACCTCACAGACGTACACTCCTGGGCTGAGTAGGGGAGAAGAAAGCATCACTGAGGTCCAGAGGGCCACTGGGAGCCTGGCCACCATTTAGGGAGCATCTCATGGGCGGGAGCCCAGGACCACCCTGAAACCTTCTGACTACCTGAGTCACAGGAAAGGGTGATATCCTGGCACTCACAGAGCTTCTAACAGTACAGGAGAGGACAGGCAGTTTACTATATTTTATTCAAGAGAAGGGGAATGCAACATGACCTCAGTGTAGAAGAAAGTTAGTAAGATTAAGTATCTTAATATTATATATGGTTATCCAACTATAATAAAATACATAATTGTTACATTACATGTCATATGATATATATGTAATGTGTAAGAGTGTAATCACATTTTACTACATAACTACTTTGTATATAATTTTATGATAAAACAACATTATAGCTGTTACACTAATACAATTTTTAAATAAGAATTAATAATAACAGGGGGCTCATTTGTCCCCTCCTGGCATGAGCCAGGAGCTCTGCCCTCTCACTGTATCTCTCAGTGAAAGCCTCTCCCTGGATCCCCTACCTTGGGTGTTTGCTAAGTTCATTCTTCGGCTCCGCAAATAAGATCCCCGGCATCATCTTTGGCGGCTCATCCGGGATAACTTCGGAGGTGAGTATAGGCATCCAAGCCTGCCTTTTCCTTCACTGTCCTTATAGAAGGAAGCCGTCTATGGCACACAACATCGGGCGCTCATCAGCCACTTAAGTGGGACTAGCCTGGCTGCCAATCTCAAAGTCTCGAGCGACAGGTTCCCCTGCGTCTCCCTCAGTGGATCCCCCGGCTCCCTTGGGAGCCGGGAAAGTCACCTGAGTGGAGGCCAGGATTCCCCTTCAGAGGCATCTCCCTGGATGCGAGGGACTGAGGAAGGCCGTGGGCACCTGCGAGAGTCTAGGCTGAGGCTGCGCTTCAGCGGCTTCTCAAAGGCCCGCGTGTCTGGAATCAGACCCCGACAGCCCGTCTGGGTATCCATGAGGAGTGTCTCTCTTTCTGTCTGCCTGACTTCCAGCCTGCTTCTCCGGGCCGCCCCAGCCTCTGGGTGAGGCAGGGGGCATTCCTAACTCTCTTCTAACTTAATCAATGTCAAGGACCCCGATGCTCAGCACCGCAAGGTAGGAGATGTACACTTCGCTCTTATTCCTGATGAAATGCTGTACTTTTTATCTCATAAAACGTGTCTGGTCACCCATTAGCCACTTAAAAGATTGTAAGTGTCAGCTGCCAGTCTCAAGTCTTGTGTGAAAGGTTTCCCAGTGTCTGACAATAAGGTTTCTGGGGGTGAAGGCAGTTTATTAACACCTAATATTTGCCGACCTCTCTTTTTAACAAAGAGGGCAACAGGCTTTAGGCCCTGAGCCTAACAGGGTTAACATCTTTTGCCATTTTACTTGTTTTACTGTATCTACCTTATTTACTGCAGTAATACTAAGTTGCCACATTGGAATTGTGTCATGTTGCCATTTAAAATGCATCATTTCTTAAACTTACAGTAAAGCTGCAAGAATACAACAAGGAACACTGGTATACCCTTCTCCTGGCTTCACTGATGTTAACTGTTAATCTCTGAGAGAGTGTGTGTGCATGCACACACATACACCATTTGAGAGTGTGTTCCAGGCATCCCACCCTTCCCTCTCAATGTATCAGCATGAATCTGCCAAGGGAGTGTCACTCTTACACAATCACAGCTGAAACTTAACACAGGACATTTAACACCAATACAAAACTGTTTTCCAACAACACAGTTCATGATCAACTTCCTTGACTGTCCTAAAACATTAAATAATGTTTTTAAATAATCTGTTTTTGTTTTGTTTTTTCCAGTACCAGGTCCATTCTAGAATCACACATTACGAAAAGCGCATTACAGGGACAAGGGCACAGGGTAGGGGAATATGACAAAAGTCTGAGCGCTAGTGTGGGCCGTGTGGGAAATAAGTGATTCAAGCCCATGTTTCTCTTTGTGGAGGTGGCACAGGAAGTGATTATTCCATCTGTGTTCATGCAGATCCCCCTTGGCAGGGGGCAGGGGCCAGGTCCTTCACTTAACCTGTTGGTCAGTTTTCTCATGTGACATAGGGATAAACACAGAGCATCTGCCTCATAGAGCTATAGTGAAAATTCAACTAGCTAATTCCCATAAAGCACTTAGAATATGATTTGATACAGAACAAGAGCTCAGTAAATGTTACCTATTTATTATTTTTTTGATTAAGAGGTAATTTGACCAGTTTATTAGGCAGGTGGTGCATAAGGGCATCAAACAACTCAATACCCCCTTGCTACCTTGAAGACAGTCCCCCCAGATTCCTTTCTACCCCAGAAGAACAGGATGCACGTTTGGGAGTTGCAAAGGTTGCTAAGGATTTCCAAGGTCAAAGGCAGAAGAAGACAGCAAGGATTTTCTGTTTTGAGATAAAGAGTTTCTCAGTGGGGCACCCGGGCTCCTTTGTATGTGAGAGGGGTGTTCCGGTCCAGCTCTGAGGGGCAGGAACTTCCCAGTTGGGGGCTACAGGAGAGACTCTGGTCCTGACTCTGTTGCAGATGTTGCTGAGACAGGGACTGTGGGTGTAGTCAGAGTAGGGTGAGCGCCTCCGGAAAAAGCAAGGCAGGATATCTGCAGTCAGATCAATGTAACTACATGCAAAGAAACCCCCTACTAAAACTCTGTGTTAAACATTCAGCTCCAGAGTCATTCTTCAGCGAGATGAGTTAATATACCCCAGATAAAGAAGAGCAGCACATGTTTATATTATGCTAATCATTTATAATCTGTGTAAGATCCACTTTAACATGCTAAAGGCCCAGGCCTATGTGCTGTCTTTCCTCCTTCAGATCTGATGAAGTGATTTTGCAAACTGGGCAACTAATTAAGCATGCAGGCCCAGCCATAAACACCACAGTGAAAGGCAAGAAGGATTCCACCTTAAAGATAAGATTGCATTTTAATACCCAAGAAGTTAAGAGGTCAGAAATTCTTAACTTACTCTTTAGCAAACAATACCTCAGCCCACCTTGGGGGCTGGGCAGGTGGCCCTGTTTCCTTTGTCCCCAGACCAAGAAGCTGGTATCTCAGGGAGAAATGATCAGAGCAGGAAGTTGCTTGTGTTAAGTTAATTCTAAATATTCTACTTAACAAGTCCACACCCCTAAGCTTTTTTTCATATTCTCAAAAACCCTCAACTGCCTATAAAACCCCTAGACAATGTACCACACTGGACTCTCTTGTCCCCTCCTGGTGTGAGCCAGGAGCTCTGTCCTTTCACTTTATCTCTAAATAAAAGCCAGTACCTGGCTCTCCTACCTTGAGTGTTTGAGGAGCTCATTCTTCGGCTTCGTGAACAAGAAACCGGCATCATTGCCTTGCCACCCTGGTCACACTTCAGACCTGAGTGGGCCAACGGTGAGTGGCCACCCTACCAGAGGTAAAGTCCTAAAGGGGAAAGCCATTACACGCACTTTAGGTAGGAGGATTCTGAAGTTCTGAATGGGAAGAACCTGCCAAGGATCACACAAGCAGTAAGTGACTTGGCAATCATGCTATTCTGCCTCATTAATACCTTCCCTCCACTTGGGTCCTTTGGGGAGCTTCCACCAGCCCTTTCAGTCTGCTTCCTCCTGGGACCCACTCAGAGCCCTGTGTGTGTCTCTGGACTTAGGTCCCCTGCCCCATGAGCCTCCCTCTGCCCAGCACTGGGGTCCTGAGTAGAGGAGTCAGTGTCTGGCATTGGAACACACCCCTAAGGTGAATCCTCCAGGGTCCCCTAGGTCCTGCTAAGGGCTGGGTTGGGGGATGAAAATACGTAACTGTAGTTCATGAGAAAGATGGTGCCAGGAGATGGGTCATTTGGGAGGCCCATGGGGGAGGCCCCAGGCCAGGACACAGCATTATCAACCCTCAGGATGAGGCGGAGGCTTGCTGGGTGTGGGGAAGAAAGGGAGTTAGCAAGGCCCCAACTGCCAGCCAGTTTCTCTAAGCCAGGGTTCTGCTCATCAAGAAGACAATGCCCTGACCAGGGGGAAGACTCCAAAGACTCATTTTCCTCCACCTGCCACACCCACCCTGGTTCCAGCACTATCTTGCTGACCAGTGGCCTCACTTGGCTTCCTTCAGGCCACACCTTGGGCCTCTATTCTCCACTCAGCTGCCAGAGGGAGACTTGAAATCACAGAAACCACCTCACTCTCCAGCGCAAAATCCTTCAGTGGATTCCAAGCCCTCTCAGAACAAAATGCAGTCTCCTTACCAGCACTTTCTCTATCTGGACCTTCTCACGTGCACTTTCCCACCGCCTCCTCATCCTTCCCAGCTACCCAACCGACAGATTTCATAACCCCTCTGGAGAAAACAGACCAGTTCTCCTAGCCCATCACTCTCTTTTATTATTGAATATTATCTCTACCCTGGACGGACAGTGTTCATTTATTTATTTGCTTTTATTGTCTAGCCTCTTCCCCAATGAAATTTAACCCCCCTAAGAAGCTAGGGCCCAGTCTGTTTTGTTTACCACTTTACCGCCACTGCCCGTGGACGAAACAGGCACTCAGAACAGAGA